CAGTTCCAGCCCCACAGGCCTGAGGCTGCCACACAAATACACGGCAACCACGCAATCCACGGCCACAAAAAGAACCCTCTTTGCTACGCTCTGGTCCCAAACCTTGCCCCTTTTTTCCACACTCTTGCACAAGCTTCGGTGATGCGAGCTAAGGTGCCAAATCTGGGGTTTATAGCTGGGATGCTTCCCGCCCTAAAACATTGGTTACTGCAACTCGCTGCGAAATGGCATGGAGAGTTTAGTTTCTCATTGGGGATTGCATTGACGAAACCTTTGCACCAAATAATTCAAAGCTGCGCCATGATTCTCAAGACTGTCTTCTGCATCGTCCAGCGCTCACGAGAGCGGCCTCGGGCACAGGCTCAACAACAGCGTCTGCGCAAGCACAGGCCGGGAGTCAAAAGTGCAAACTACCAAGTGGCTTTGCTGTGGCCCTGGCTAGCTGACGTCGGGCAGGACGAAACCGTAGCTGTCAGGCCTGGGCTGCAACTAAGGCTGCAACGGCGCCACGCACCCAACAACAATTTGACTTTTGCTGGAACCCAAACATGTAAGCATACGGCTTCGTAGCACCACGGTTGACTTCGGCATCTTCTTCCTCTTGCTTCCACTCGCCGTCCTGCAGGGCGGGAGCACTTGCAAGGTCGCAAAAAGTGAGCAAAGGCTGCAACTGCGCGGCCTCTCGGCTGAAAATCTGGATCTTCGAAGCCTGCAGCGGAGACATAGAAGGATCGATTGCCTCAGCGCGGCTGAACATCAAGATTTTGGCCTTCGCAACGTCGCGGCTTGCCGTCACAGAACACAGCAACAGACACAGACAGGGCTAAATCCACGCGCAAGTTCTAAGCACAGGGCCTTCTTCAGGTCATCCACCTGACGTCGCCCACCAAAAGCGTGGAGAACCACTCAAACAGGGAAACGAACTGAGGCAATCGACTGAACGCAGCCAAGGTCGCGGCGTTAGCCAAAGTTCCTTTCACTTGGAACCCATTGCCCACCGGCTCCAACTCCTTGCCATGAAAAGAACTTCAAAGGCGCTGCTTGCCATGCGTGGGTTCTTTTCAACGTTACTAAGAAATCAACTCCGCAGTTCTGTCTTCGAGAATGCACTGCTTTCAACGTGGACATGATATGAATGCATCGGAATCCTCCTTAAACCTCAGCTTTTCTGTGACCGTCCTATCTTGCGAGTCGAGTGGGTCAAAACGCAGCAGACATGAACTGACAGCAAACTTGCATACTCCCGGTAAGGAACAGCCGAAACTCTCCGAACCGCCTCCCGAACCGCCTCCCGAACCGCCTCCCGAACCCCCTCCCTTGCCCACGAACGGACGTCGCGCTCAACATGAGCATCCACCGCATGCTCCGCCCCCTGCCGACGATGGTGCGCTGGGCGAGCGTCCAAACAGCCGCGCCCAAACCCAGGATTCAGCTACTGAATCCTACTCACGCCGTCAACGATTTCTTGCGTTCCAACTACCGGCACTTGCTCTCACACACAGTCCTTGCGGATCAGCTCCCGCACCCAGACGACGGATGACTCTGAGCCTCGCAGAACGCCCAAACTTGGTATCTCGAAGCCTCCATTTCGTGTCAACTCCCTGACCCCAGACCCCCAACCTAAAAACGAGAACCCCCTTCTGTTACGAATTCGGGAACATGTTCAACGTGTCCTCGCCTTGACTCATCCTGTCAATACGCGCTTTCAGGTTGGACAGGTCATCCCTGAATATGGCGACTCCGACCTCCTTGATCACTTCATCGTTAAAATCTGCCCTTCCCTGTTGGAGCGCTGCCAGACTGGATGCGAGAACGTTTCGGCACAGCTGCAATGGTGTACTGGTTGTCTGGCGAGCTGCGCTGGAGAAGGCCACCAGGACTTCCCGAGCAGTGGGGTGCCTGACAACATGTGAAGCAAGGCTGACCATGTCAATCATATACTGTTGAAATACATGCACCCTGTTCGTCACCAGCATGGATTGTGAGCTGCCAAGATCTGTCCATACGTACTTGCCTCTTCTTCGCAGCACGATGTTGCCAGCGTGTGGATCCGGATGTCCCGCTCCAGCCTCTTCTAGAGACCGCAAATCCATGACGTAAGTCAGCAAAAAGGACACCAGGCGAACAGGATCCGGTGGCAAACTGCATCGTGTTCGTCGCTGCTCCAAGCTGTCTTGCAGCCAGTGCAATACAGAACAGCGCAATCCTGTGTAGACTTCGACTCGTACGAACACGTTATGCTTGGCCGAAGATAAAGTGCAAACATCAACGGGGCTGTTCACTCCATGCTGAAGCCGCCCAACAGCAGCCACATCTGACACTGCTCGGGCTTCTCGTTTAATAGCAACCAAATGCTCCAGTTGCAGTTCGGCCTCCTCATGACGTAGGGCGCGCTGAAGGTCAGGAATGAAGACTGTGCTCTTGAAGTCTTCGAGCAACGTCAGAAGTGTTGAAATATTAACTGACGCACGATCGATCTTTGCGGCCACTACAAAGCCAATGCGGACAGCAATGCGTCCGCTGCAGTGCCCTTGTAGCACCACATGCCTGGATCCAAGGATGGTTTTGTTCTCTTGGAGCTGGCAGTGTCTGAAGGTTTCCATGGTAGGGCATGTCGGATAGGTTGTCGCTCCCACCATTTCAAGCAGCAGCACTGGCAAAAAGGAAACAATGCACCACACCATACTCGCTGGAGGGGAACAAGCTACACACAAATGGCAAAGCGAGAAGAAACCCTGCCTCGGTCCTTACGTACATTTGCCGTTGTTGCACGAGAATACAGGACTGGTATCGTATGTCTGGTCCAACACTGTCAAGGTACTGAAACGGAAGCCTTTCAATTCAAGTTGTTTGAGCCACATTGACAGTTTACTTTATTTTGCAGACACGGAAAAAACTGTTCACTCCGACAACCAGCACAGCGGAGTTTCTGTTTTCTTTCAACACACCTGGGGCACTGATCTAAAACGACATCAGCTCGGGCTTTAGGCTGGGCAGCTTGCTCGGATTGGGCGACACGAGCAAGTGGTGATCACATTTAAGCGAACCTGCAGCCGCGTGTTGCTGCAGAGCGGAAACGTACAAGAGCATATTCAAAAACTGTCTCTACTTTTCTTGGATGCACAGTAGCTTGGCAACTGATCACGACTGTCTTCAGCGACGTGTTTCTGCAATGCATGCAGAACAAGGCGTTGGCAAATCCATCACCACAGGAATGGTATGCCGAACTCTCAGTTGAAGTGCTGCCACAGGGAAAGCTCCAAAAGAATCTCAGAGACTTTTCCGGAAAATGCTGTAGATGCAGCTTTCTTCGGCCTCTCTTTGCGGTAGGGTCTGCACTCCACTATCGATCGTCTACAAGGGAG